CCCAGTCCGAGAAAAGGATGGAAGGATCCTGTTCATATGGACCTGTCGTCAGACAGAACACTAAATAAATAAAATTATTTTAAGAAGTTAAAAAAGATAATGGTACTGATCAATTTTATTCTCTTACAGAAATGGTACCTACTTTAATATACATACAAAACCCGTCGAAAATACTGAATGGATTTCTCCTGTTCCACTTGTTGTTGAGAGGTCCATAGGTCTGCTATATCTTGTCGACTAAATTCAATTGTCGACGGCAAAGGTCATATGCAGACGAAATTTGATTTTCTGAAAAAGATAAGGCTCACAGTGCGAATTTAAATTGTCATTAGGCGAAAAATGGATGGAACGTTTCTGAACTGCCCGCATCTGTGACCTAAGTCTCCAATACACATTTCTACGTTATCTTGATTTGGAAAAGAATTAGTAATTACTGACTTAATGTTTATGAGACCATTAGCCATAATGTTGACACTATCAGCGTAATGCTATTCTTTGTCAGGCATAAAATTCAAGTACGTTTTTATAAGTCCGTTATAATATCGTGATATTTCTTCAGTTCCTGTTGAGACGTAGGCCTATAATCTAAGAATCTTCCCCCACCACCACCACAACAGGACCTCCTGATGCCTCATTAGATAACAATCCAAATTGACATTCAGTGAAGTAATCTATTCTGACACGTATTGTAGTTCGTTTTATCTGTGGCTAGATCCGAAATTTCATAAGGAATCAGATGAGTTGGTGTAATTCAAGCGCGCACACACGCACAAGGTAATTAAAACATCAGCACGCAACTTATGACCAACGCCATTTTTCATTCCTTGTTCCCATTACCAGCTGCTCGTTCGGAGGCCATTACGGTTAGAAGCACCACAGTTTTGTACTCAGGGTTCAAAACCAGCCTTCACGGGGGGGGGGGGGGTCAGGTTTCACACGTTCTTCCTCAGTCGCTCCAAATAAATGTCAGGATGATACCTCAAGACAGCGGCTTCTAACTTCCGTGTCTCTTTTCCATTCGCCATTCGGCATATTCGACGCTACGACCTTCGAAACTAAGAAAGAGAAGTGAAATAATCGAAAATTGTCGATCTGATTTTAGGTCGTTGGCTCGCACATTATTAAATGACCCATTAACAACTGAACAGGTTATTGAGTGAGATGATCACATTAAATAACGTGGAAAATAAGCGGGTTTTCTATTCAGTGACGTAACAACGATTGAATAACAATTTTCTTGGATATTATCCATCGTCTAGTAAATGTAAAACGACGTTTCGGAGAATGGACTCTATCTCCGTCTTCAGGTTAATCCTCATCTCCGGAGATAGGGATTAGCTCTATCTAGTGGGCCCAACTGTCTAGGAACCTCTAGACCAGGGGTGGCCAACCCAAATGATCTTTCGGGCCACTTTGGAAATGCATCATAACTCCGCGGGCCACATAAAATTATATATCCCCATATTAGATTTAGATACATTATAGACCTGTTATATTAGATGTTCCAAGATGCACGCGCATCATGAGTTCGCAGAATATAGTTTAATTATTCTGCGAACTCATAACTGTAAACTCATGAATAAAACAGGCAATATCTGTCATATATTCGCAAGAATATTATTTTAAAATCAAAGTTAATTTTTTCTCATAATTTCGACAGATAATTTTTGAATATATGGATGCACAAATAATGTATTTTTTTAATACATTGGTTTTCACTACTTTGGCCATTATAAAATAAATATATTTTGTAAAAGTGTGATGAATCTCGCGGGCCGGAAAAATGTTCAAGGCGGGCCACATGCGGCCCGCGGGCCGCGGGTTGGCACACCTGCTCTAGAGGGAGATAGAGTCCCATCTCCGAAACTTCGTTTTACGTTTTATATTTTACTAGACGATGGATAATATCCAAGTAAATTTTTATTCAATTGACTCTTCACCATCGTCAAGAAGTTTTAGTTTTGATAGACGTAACAACGATTTAAAAAAAAAGTCTAATGAAAAGACTAACTTAAATTACGAACTGGGGAGGACAATATAGGGAATCCCAGCAATCGTTTGGAAGGATTGAATAACCCACAAAAATCTTATTGATTATACTCGGTTTGATAGTGAAGACTCAGCAAACTTGGATAATCGTTTGGCAATGAATTGGAAGTCTGCAAGTGGGTTTCCTGCAGTACAATGGTGGCTCAACAGGTGAGAGGCAGCAGGGATGTCCAGCTGAAGAGTCTGGATGTCTCTCAAGAGCTCTTAAAAAATCACTGCAGTCAAGATCCTCAGACTGCTTTTAAGTGGCTAATTGCGTGCGCTTAGAAAATTCTAAGCTCGGAAACACGCGTTAACAGACAATTTGAAAAAAAAAAAAAACAGGAAATGTTATTGTTTGTACTCTTCACTAAGTATTTTCAAAGTTAATAAATCTATGGAGTACAAAGGGAAAAATCTAAAAACGTGAGTGTGAGAAACAAATTAGAATTACTGGTTAAGACATCTGAGAGGATCATAGGTCAATACAACTATAATGCCTAAATTTAAGGCGCATCCAATTTTGAAAGTTGACATTAAAGAAGAACTTACATATCAGTTACAGGCATAAAAAGTTCCTGAATTATTTTAAAAAAAATTTGTTTTTGAAATTCTAATTGATTTCTATGCGTAAATTTAAACGCGCACGAATATACGATTCAGTAAACTTTTTGTCACAGAGAAGTGCGCATTAGCGTCTAGGTATTCGAACGGCAGCTTCAGTGAACATGAACCGAACAAAACTAAAGTATTCCCTAAATGTCTTTGGCGATGGTATTATATTACTACTTTCTTTGGTTTTGAAATTTAACCCTATTCTGTTTTTAAGAAGTCTTAAAAAAATCTTAAAAACTTTAAAAGTCGCTACTTTTCGAAGGATGGATCTTTCGGTAGACCGTGCTATGTTTTGACAGATATTTAACATCTGGGTCTACGGAATCCAATAGAATTTGTCTCCCCAGTGTTACGTAAAGACAAAGGAAGATGTGTCTTTTAATAAGAAGTGATTTTTTTTAAGGTTTTAACATTTCTAAGAGCTTAATAAACAGACGAAACCAAGAGGTCTTAAGTTTACTTAACTGTTTCATGAATCGGATGAACAGTGGAGTTTTGTATTGACCGGTAATAAACTCTTGGGAGTTCTTATTAAGTTTAATTTTTGGATAAACTTAAATTAATCGACCGTTCAGGGATTTATCTGCATATCTGTTGCCTTTCACGACAAGTCCTAACTATACTAGTTCAAGAAAAGGATAATACAGTTTGAAGTTCATAATCAGGCAAACGCAGTTTAACACAAACAGAGAAGTTAAAAACAAAAACAAAATGTTATATGAAAACTGGACGGTAAATGTAATGACGTAAAACTGATTTAAATTCTTTGTTACACATTTTCTTCGTTGACCAAATAAAATAGAAATTCATTATGCTCTTGGAGAGAGGGTTAATAGTTGAGAGCTTCAAACAAAATAAATAAATAAATTATAGACCGATTTTTGTGTGACTGATTGGAACGCGTAAGTGAGCTAATTTAAGGTACTGTCCCAGCTCGAGTCTGGAGTAACTGAGGAAAATAAAGACAAACCCAGCCAGAATAATGAGCACAGAGCGGAGATCTAAAAACAGTATCTCCCGAATGCAAAACGGGAGTATTAACAACTCAACGAAAAGATGACCGTCTTCTTTGATGTTGGGCCTCGTACTCTAATAAAAAATTCTCCGGCATTTCAGAGGCGCTTACTGTCTTCATCATCAGGGCGCACCGTCAAAGAAGACGGTCATCTGCGTCCTGGTTATCACACTAACCCACGCACTACGTCAGAGATCGCGCAACCACGAATCCCAAAAGGTAGAAAAGTGTTAAATTTTCGAAAAGAGAAAATAATTAAATTCAATTCATTGGAAGCCCCTAGGCTACAAATATTTATCACACACAGTCCAAGATTTCATTTACATTTATTTCAGGAACGTATCACTAGGGAGGTAAACACTCGCTGTTTACCAATTACACACAGCTCATACAGAAATACCACGAAGCCAAAAAGTACTTAAAACTTTGCTTTATCCATAAGGAACTTAATATTTGCACGTAAATTAATCGATTTATTAGCTCCTGATTTATTTAACACACGCTATTTTAAATGTACATCCAAAAATCATGGTGAAAGCAATTGACTAATTGGAAAGGATAAGGAACGAATCGGCAAGGTCTTCTTCAAGATACTATCCTAATATTCGCCCGGACTGACTGAGCAAACCATGAAAAAGCTCTGTCAGGATATTCGGTTTTCGAAGATTGGTTCGAACCACAGACATCCTGAATATGAAATATCACTGTTAACTTGATCGCAGCATACATCATACATAAATCATACTTCTTATATGTGGGCCTCAAGACACCCCTTCTTCCTTAAACCCAAAGGTGAATCGAAGTTTTGAAAATGTAAATTGGGACTGTCAATCGGAAATACGCGAATCTTTACAGCAAGTCTGTACAGCACACGAATATATTTAATATGAGAATATAATTCCTTCGTCACTTCGGGGCATGAAACCTATTAACAGCATTAGAAAATATTACAGGGAAGTGTTTTCCGAAATCCGAAGTCTTGTGAAGTCATTTCTAGGGGCTCTGGTCCTACATTGAGGTCTAACGCAACAAAAACTGAAATAATTATAAAAAATTACAGTTAATTATATAGTACAAAGCATCGTACTCTATCAAATTTGGCGGGACGATTTGTTCAAAATGTATCGCCTCTTAATCTCGGCCCGGATACCGACCACGAGGTTCTTTTTCTCGATTTCTCCAGGCGAATTCCAGTACAGTACCTTTAAGTGGGCATTGACCGCCGCCTTGTAAATCCTTTGCTA